TCTCTGTCAAATGAATAAATAAAATCTTTAAAAAAAAAAAAAGATGTTTATTTATTTATTTATTTTAAAGAGAGAGTGCACAAGTGCAAGGAAGGGCAGACGGGGAGGGAGAGGGACAAGCCGACTCTGTCCTGAGCGCAGAGCCAGATGCGGGGGTCATCTCAGGACCCTGAGATCATGACCTGAGCCGAAATCAAGAGTTGGACACTCAGCCACCCAGGCACCCCAATAAATAAAATCTTTAAAACTAAATAAAATAAAATAAGATTGTTTTTTATGTTTCAATATGTACAATGTCCACATGGTTAAAAAATCAGATTTATATAAAAAGTTAGACAAAGGGAGGTTTCACTCACATCTCATTCCCAAGGATCCTCTGGAAGTAACCATTTCCATTTGTTTTTATCATTTCTTTTCTGTGCTCCTTATCCAAAAGGCATGACACTGTTGATGCTCATTATTGTTATTATTAATAAACACCCCAGATGCAACTGGGGTGAGGGGACCTGACAATATCTACCCCTTCTTCCCACATGTATCTTGTGATGAAGTATTCCAGAGTATGAAACACATGCGGATAGGGGATTTTGCAATGCTGTATTGTATTAGTGGTGTAAAAATCAGGGCAGGGAATGCACTGTAAACATGGAGAAATGTGAAGGACCCAAGGAACAAAGCACTGGGTGTTCCAATCTTTTCATTTATAAATAGACTTCGCTCACCTGTGCAAATCAGGGATCATCAAACTTTTACTATAAAGGGCTAGATGGTAAATATTTTCAGCCTTGCCAGCCACACAGCCTCCATCACAATTATTGGACTCTGTCATTGTCATGCAAAAGCAGCCATAGACGACAGATACAGTTTGGTCTGTGGGCCACTGTTTGTCGACCCCTCCCATAAACCAAACACCATGGCGAGCAGATGGAATTACACTCCTGGAATTGGGCACGAGGCGTCTTCAACTCTCACAGAAGCAAGCGTGAGGTGGATTTACCGCAAAGAAAATGAACTGCACAGAGAAAGGTAGATATTTGAAACAAAAAAATGGAGGATTTGTCAATGTAGGAGAGCATCACTTGTGTGACCCCTCCCAGCCACCTACCTGATGGCATTCTCGTTGATGAATATCCTTGCCTTTGATGAGGCACGGGCATGAAGACTGCCAATATTCACAAGGTGAAAGGAACCTTCTGGAAGCTTTTCTCCATAATTTCAAACATAGCAGGGATACCTCCACTGGCATCGAGGAAAATTTCTTTTCCATGGGGTGTTATGAAATGGACTTTCCAGAAGTAAGGCAGGAGCTGTGGGTTGAGGACTCATGAGGTATGGGTCTAAGTTGGCCCTTTCCCGTTTTTCTTAGCTCTTGATTCAATCTGAAATTAAGGGTGCTATTTTATTTTTTATGGACTTTTTATTTTATGTGGGTTCTTTTTTTTTAAGATTTTATTTTATTTTTTTTTAAGGGATCTCTACACCCAGTGTGGGGCTCGAACTCACAACCCTGAGATCAAGTGTTGCATGCTCCACAGACTGAGCCAGCCATGCTCTCCCCCACCTTTTTTAAAAGATTTTATTTTTATGGGGGCACCTGGGTGGCTCAGTTGGTTAAGCGACTGCCTTCGGCTCAGGTCATGATCCCAGGGTCCTGGGATTGAGGCCCGCATCGGGCTCCCTGTTCATCAGGGAGTCCGCTTCTCCCTCTCCCTCTGCCTCCCACCGGCCTGGCCTCGCTTGTGCTTTCTCTCACTCTCTCAAATATCTTTTAAAAATGATACATGTTATCTGTTTAATAGAATTCATATCACTAATGATAGTTGCCATGTACTGAATATTCATCATGTGCCAAAGCGTGTAAAGCATTTATATTACTAAACCTTCGCTGTAACCCCACGAATGTAGTTTAGCCTCGACAGTCCCCATTTCACCAATAAGAAAATCAAGCCCAGAGCAGGCTTTCTCAGTTGGGCAGGGTCACAAAACGAGTGTGTAGCCCAGCACATCTGCTGAATGTCAGAACCTCCCCTGTTAGCCATGTTATTTTCCTACCTCTGATATTACAATGATATTATAGTGATTTATAGTAACAAATATTTATTTTGTCCTCATCCCCATTTCTGGCACAGAGCTCCTAAAACCTTGGAATTCCTAAGAACTGACGAGTGATGAAGGTGCCTTTAATATATCAGGTGACTTTTGGAAAACATGTAGGGATGGGGCTGGTTGCCAAGGGAACCAACCAAGTCTTGGACGGTCGGAATTTCCATTCCCATCCCCTAACCTCTGGGGCTGGGAGAGGGGCTGGATGTTGAATCAAACACCAATGGCCAATGATTTCATCAATCATGCCTGTATAATGGTGTTGCCACAAAACCCCAAAAGGATGGGCGTCTGAGAGCTTCCAGGTTGGTGGACAAGGGCAGATGTGGGGAGAGCTCCACACACCCTTTCTCCATACCTGGCCCTAAGCATCGCTTCCATCTGGCTATTCTCGAGTTATCTGCTTTTATAATAAACTAGTAATCTAGTGAGTCACATGTTTTTCTGAATTCTGTGAGCTGCTCTAGCAAATTAATTGAGCCTGAGGAGGGGGTGCTGGGACCCTCTGATTGATACCTGGTTGGTCAGAAGCACGGCGGACAACCTGGATTGGCAGTCTTATAGGACCGAGCCCTTCACCTGTGGGATGTGATGCACCGTCTTGTAAATAGCATCAGAATTGAGTTGAATTGTAGGACCCCCTGCTGGTGTCAGAGAATTGCTAGTGGTAGCGAGCGCAAAATACCCCCAAACAACAGGCATTGCAGTTGGAGTTCGAATCAGAACATGGAACCCCTTTCTAGATTCCTGGGGCCCCATTCCCCGCAGGAAAGTCCCCAACTGTCTTTTAACTTGAGCAAGACCACGACAGAACAACCAATGGTCTGCGCAGCACCCTCACATTTACTTTGGAATCACCTGGGGGACCCCGTCCCAGAGACTGGGCTGCATTTGGCCCCAGGGGGTGCTGCTCCAATTTTTTTTTTCTTTTAAGATTTCATTTATTTGAGAGAGAGATCATGAGCAGGGGGGAGGGATAGAGGGAGAAGGAGACTCCCCACTGAGCAGGGAGCACGAAGTGGGGCTCGATCCCAGGACCCTGGGATCATGACCTGAGCAGAAGGCAGATGTTTAACCGACTGAGCCACCCAGGCGCCCGGTGCTGCTCCAGTTTTTTAAAGAAATGGTGGTTTGTGATGGGATGGAGGTGTTAACTAACAGTAGTGATGATCATTTTGCAATAGAAGTGTATCAAGTCACCACACTGTACACCTTAAACTTACACGGTATTATATGCCGATTATATCTCAGTCAAACTGGGAAGGAGAAAGAGCTCCTCAGGTGCTCAGTCCAGGTTGGGAGCCAGGACATCTTACCCCAAGAAGAACCTCCTCATTCATTCCTGCAACTCAGAGTGCCCATGCTGGGGTGGGGGTGCCAACTGCACCTCAGAGTCCTTTGGGATGGGGTGGTGTGGGCAGGGGGTGGGCAGACAAATGAATGGGCAACCATGAGGAAAAGTACGGGATCCCAAGGGACCACAAGCAAGTAAGTCCTTCCTTCCCCCAAGCTGGGAGAGAGGAAGGCAGGGCCGGGGTTACCCCAGGAGGATTTCTGGGAAGAAGTGCAGAGCAGGGGCGTCTGGGTGGCTCAGTCGGTTAAGCGACTGCCTTCGGCTCAGGTCATGATCCTGGAGTCCCGGGATCGAGTCCCACATCGGGCTCCCT